TATAATTCAGCAAAAAAGATATAAACTTCTTTAGAATCCAATCTACAATTAAAACTAAAATCAAATGATGGTCACAGGAGAGGGAAGATTTAGCATACCTCAGAGATGGAGATGACTTCTTTTGTGGAGGAGCCTCCTTAGAATAAAAATACAAGTAAACCAAGATGCCATGGTTTACTTCCACAATTCTGCTATTAATATTAGTTAAACAAGCATTTAAACACTAATTTAATAGGAGACAGTGTATATTAAACCGGCCTGTTGATTGCAATTTGGTAGGAACACAAGCAATAATTGGCTATAGTACGGTCAGTAGCTGTCTTGACGCTCCCTTGTGAGAAAAAAGAAACACAAAGAATCTTATGTAGGGCCTTCTATGAGGAGATTATGACAATGGATGATTTAGATTAATTACATTCACATATGTTTACATATCTACCCTTATGGAAGGATCACTATTTATGTTACAGTAATCTCTACAAGTAACTATTGTGCTGTGAACTGTGAATCGATCCAAGTCCATCTGCTAGCAAATTGCTACACTGCGAACAGTAAATTAAATCTCCCACTATTTTTTTTTGAAGTTACTGTTTAATACTACAGTATTTTACTGTATCATAAACAGTAAATCAAATCAAATATGTTAAAACTTAGATCATCCTCTGGGTATAAAGGACTAGATATGAATTTTAAACTTTAAGTATAGAGAAGTAGATGTAATTTCTAATTTTAAGCGTACAATAATCAAAATTAAATGTTTTGAAACTTAGAAGGAGGTAAGTTTACAATGCAATACTTAAAAAAAATAGAGGGTCGTGTTTTGCACGGGGTGCACACTAGTATGAATAACCGATTGCATTTACATGAATACAGAGACTCCAAGATCACTAGCGTAATAACAATCAACAGTCACAAGCTATCCGTGTAGTTACGCAAACATTCTTTTTTAAGGTAAACATTGTTTCCTCAAGCTAACAAAATTCTACTTAATTTGCTTACCTGCTCCTCCTTGGTTGGGCCAGTCATGGGCTCATTAATTTGGGTTTCAATATCTGTCGATTCTTCTTCGGCCTCTCGCTAGCTGCGCGCAGGGCTTCGTATGGGAGGCTGGCCGTCGACGGCGAAGGCAATGTCTTCGAGTTGGGTTCGAAAAGGGGTCGATTCTTGGGTGATGGAAAAAAAAAGATTGCTTTTTTATCTACTATTAATTTGTGCAGAGATTCTGCGGAGTCTTGTGGTTCAGAGTGAAGGTGGGAAGATGATGGAAGGTTGTTTTTATAAAAAAAAAAATAATGAAAGGCAGCTGCACGCCGCGTTTGGGCCCTGACGCTAAGCCCCATGTCGCACTTCAAGCTTTTATTGAAGGCTAATTGGCAATTAAAATGCTCTAAAGTTCTACTGACATCGTACCTAAGGGGATGTTTGGTTGGCATTTTTTGTCATTTTTCCCTGTCAAAACTGACAAAAGCTGTCAAAACTGTCAAAACTGTCAGTTTTGACAGCTTTACTTACAAAAACGTCCAAAAATGAGCGTTTTTGCAAGTAAATGTCAGTTTTGACAGGGAAACCCAAACAAAAAAAGCCAACAAAACAGCCCCTAAGAGATCTTGACAGCTTTACTTGCAAAAACGTTCAAAAATGAACGTTTTTGCAAGTAAAGCTGTCAAAACTGATAGCTTTTGTCAGTTTTGACAGGGAAACCCAAACAAAAAAAGCCAACAAAACAGCCCCTAAGAGATCTGTATTTGAGACTATTAGAAATATTTAAAATATTTAGGTGAGACCATTTAAGAGCTGAGGGTATTTTAGAAAAATATCTTAAGGATCTAAAATATGGGATCATTGGAGGGGACAGACGACGAGGTGTCCCCTCCCGATCGTGCCAGCTCATTATGCAATAGGAGGGGGACACCTCACATGTCCCCTCCAATGGTCCCATATTTTGGGTCCCTGTAGCAGCGCTCGGTATTTTAATGTGAATTGGATAAATAAGAGGACACCAACTCGCAAATATTAGGTAAACTAATATTTATCTACAACATTTTTAACTGCTTTGGGTAAAACATTTATCTGTAATACTTAACTACTCTGGGGTAATTTTTTTTCCTTTTTTGCTCGATTTTAAGATAAAAATAACTTAAGTGCAAGGTTAGTGAAACGAGCAATGTTTCTATTAGAAAATTGTTGTATGCGGGAACATCTCGGCCACACGTGAGTTGGGGGGATTACTAAAATGCCATCATGACAGCGGATATGTGCAGATCAGAATGCCCCATACTGTACGGAGTGTTCTAATAAGATTCATACTCCAGTGAAATTTTAGAGCATTTAGGTGCAATTAAGTATTTTATTATAATTCAAAAACATCCATCTTCTCATGGTTCTTTTTGTTTATCTTGACCCATCAGCTGTGGAGCCTCAAAATCAAATCGGGTCATAATTTTTCGCCCAAAAAAAATTTAGGAATTTTTTGTGTATATGAAGTTCTAGTAGGACAGAGAAATTTTTATCTCGAATTTATTCAAATGCTTGTGATATACGATTTTATCTAAGAAGAATTACTGCAAGCCATGTCTAGATTTCAGGCAGTAAATCAATACGGAAAATTTAAAGGAAAAGCAATTCTAAATTTACCGAACCGGATGATATTGAGTTTGTGATGGAAAAATACGTAGACGTTATTAGTTTTTGGGTTTGTAGGCCTCTAGATTAGCTATTCGCTGTTCTAAGCCAAACAGCGGATCCAGAAAATAATATAAGAAAACTACATCATCGGTGCCGCATCCTGCGTGACTTTAAAGCGCGATGTGGGGCCCACGGCATCAAGTTCCGCACGCGACGATGGCTTCCAGTGGGTTCCCGCC